CAATCACACCATGTCAGCCCAGATCGCCTACGGAGGGAGGGGGGGAGGGGAAGGGAGGAGAGATCTGCTTAACGAGAGAGAGAGAGAGTCAATCACACCATGTCAGCCCAGATCGCCTACGGAGGGAGGGGGGAAGGGGAAGGGAGGAGAGATCTGCTTAACAATAATGGTACTCTTATACTTGATGGGGATTTCCAACAAGTGCCCCCAGGCTCTCTCAATTACACCATTTCAGCCCAGATCACCTACGGAGCAGTCAAAATGAATAAAGGAAAGAACACGAATCTAGGCTACTACGCTTTGCTACTTTACCTTCATTATTGCGGGTGTAGCCGCATCAGGTGTGGCAGTTAATATAAATCGACATATGATTATGATATGAACAAACTTCCGAACGGTGAGCAAGTGTCAGAGTGAATGAAGAAAGAAAACAGAAGGGAAGTACCTACAAGTGATTTTGTGGGATCTGTAGGCAACGTGTAGTGCTGCTATCTTTGAAAAGTTTCTCGATATCCATTTGATGAAGGGCCGTAAGACGATGTATGCAATGTTGCTGTATTCGAAAAACCTTCATCTATCGTGTTTGTGCACAGGCTAGCGAGCTTGCTGCGCTTCACAAAGAGAGCGCTATACAATGTTTCTCACCTTGAAGAACCTGCATCTATTGTGTTTGTGCACAGGCTAGCAAGCTTGCTTCACTTTATAAAGAGAGCTCGGAGGGATGGTCAAAGAAGTGCAACGAACTGGAGGGTGTTGTTAAAGCCCTTGAGGTAAAGACATAGCTTGCATGGGTTTTCCATGACCTAACCATTCCAGAAATCGAATCACGGACCTCTTGTCGACCCCCGAATATGTAGGCCCGGACTTGCTACGCTCTAAGGTCTATAGCCTGCTGAGGCCCAAAGGCTGGCTGGACAGGATCTCTTGTCTCATGCCTCCCGAGTACCACTCTTTTGCCAAATGAAGGGAACCTTCCAATGGTTTTCACTTTGTCCCAAGTGTGTTGTTCCCCGTACCCCTTGCTGCCACTGTCAAGGCTCTGCTAATCTGTTGTCAATTGTTTTGCCACACCATGCCCACGAAAATGCCACAGAGAATTAGTCCCAGCGACGTGGGACTTGTTCTTCTGAAGGGGGCTGTTTGTTTGCCATACCACGCCCCTGGGTTCATTCCAACCACCCACCTTCGTCTGCTGCATAAAGTCTTAGCAATCTGTGCACCATTGTTTCAAAAACTACTTCGAATCCGCTTTACAATAATTGCATGTAAAGGGGCAATGAAATGAAGAACCCCTCCCTCCCTCCTCCCTGATAAATTTGAGATATTTGGGCAGTCAAAATAAGCACTTTGAGTCAATGGCCTAACAGAATATTTCACACCGATAAATATTTCAAAAAAGAAAAATAGATTTAATGAAAAATTGTTCAACGTCCTCTCTTCTTCCTTCTCCCTCCTCTTTATGTTGTCTTCATCTTCATTTTCTCTCCCTCCTCTTCTGAGTGTGGTTTCTTTGTGTATTGTTTTTCAGTGTTTCCTCGCGTAGCACAATCTTGGTGTAAGCTTGTTGCTACCTCACAGCGGAGAGCCGCATGTTGTTGTAGAGTGCCAGAAGAGAAGAAAGATGTTGCCCATGGTTCTCTAATTGTGGCCTTCCTGACTTGTTTCTGAGGACAAGGAAAGAGAGAGTGCCTCTGTTGCGTTGAATCATATGCACATATGTGGTGTCATTTACCTTACAGGCAGATTGTGCCCGTCCGTAGGGAAAATAGCGCATATGTGTTGTCTTTTGCGACATCTGTTAAAATTGGAATGATAAAGAGAATGTTAGCATGGCCTCCGTTCAAGGATGGCACAAAAAAAAAAAGGGTACATGGTACATGTGTTCTCTGCTGATTGAGACAACATGAGTTGAGGTCTGTCCGATTCCATGCCAGCCAGTGGAACTGTGCAGCGCTCCACAGTGTGCTAAGAACTTGGGCAGCACTTCCAAGAATTATAAAATATTAAAATTTTAAAATGACATTGGTCTAGAAATTAGAAAACAAGAAATAGGAAAAAAAGTTAAAAAGCGTTTTTTGATATTGTGAATTTGTTCATAAACTTAATTCTCAGCAAGAGCCCTGGCCTTTGTTTTGCCTCTTTTTTGTATGTCATGGCACACTGTGTACAATTTGCACATGTAGTGTGGATATTGTCGTGTAAAACAAATTAGGTTATTGTCTATCGGCTTGATGGTTGTATGATATTCTTGCGGCCGGGATTCCATGTTTGTGCGCTGTCACATGATGAAGTGCACTTTGTTCGAAGGTGTGTTAGAGATGTGTCCGTGTTTTGTGCTTGTGAAAGTCGGAAGGAGGGATATCGCTGGAGTATATCAGAGCTTGGTGTTTAGCCCTTGGCGTTTGTAGATCGTCGCTGGACATGGTGTCATCCTTGAGGAGTCCTCCACGGCAAAGGTATGTGGAGCTTTCTACAGATGCATGCATCTCTCTGGTTTTCGATTAGCTGCACCAAAGTTCTCCACCTTCTTTTATCAAATTGCCAATCCAGTCTCCAGTTGCAGTCTTTTCTGTTCAGCATTCTGCATTGTTTACTTGCAATTGTACATTTGTGCAGTTGATGTTCTAATCTTTGACATTCGTACAGACTGTACAATTATTTTTCAGAGCAGTGAAAGGGATGCATATGAAAGGTTTGCAAGAGGAATGTTTAATCCCTCTTCTGGTATGGATTCTTTAGACTTTTCCCAGAATAGGTTGCCCGCACTGAACTGCAACGGCCTATGATGTTCTATTGGCTTGGTCTACAATTTTCTCCTAAGGATGTGTAATGCTGCCGGTGAACTGCAACGGCCTATGGTGTTCTATTGGCTTGGTCTACGATTTTCTCCTGGGGATGTGTAATGCTTTGTGTATGTCTTTCTTGTACCGCAGAGCGAATTTGTGAGTGCCTGGTGGCAACCCCTGAGCTTGGTCAGGCTTGAGGCAGTTTAGTGGCCTACGCTGCTCCATTGTTTGTGCGGCCCTTTAGGTGTCCTGCCGGTGGGCAGATGTATCAAGTTGTTATATGCACGGGCTATTATAGGCAAATGTTCATCCCAATATCTTGTTTGGTCTATATGTACATGTGAAGGGTTTGCTGTAGCAACTTACTTCATCTTCTCAGCTTGCCCATTTGCAAATGTTCATCCCAATTTCTTTTTCGGTCTATATGTACATGTGAAGGGTTTGCTGTAGCAACTTGTTCATCTTCTAAGCTTGCCCATTTGTTTCAGGGTGCCTACCTGACAACTTAGTGAACTCCGATCCATGCACTTTCACGAGTTGCAGCCACTGCTCTTCCATCAATCTAACATCTCTATCCACACTCTGTTAGCCAAGTGGGCCACGGGGGTATGCCACGTGTGGAGCTCCATTGGTTTTCTGGCTTTTCCTGGTTTCTCGACCTTCGGTTCTACATCTGGGCTGCTGGGAGTGCCCTAATCCTCCTTTTCTAACAGGATGTTGGCACTGCCATAAGTGACACGTAACGTTTTCCGTTTCTCCTTTTTGGCAATCTGGATGTCTGAGGTTTAGTCTCGCTATCAAGACGGTTCCCCTTGATAGCAGGCTCTCGGTGACCTGAATCACTCGCCCGCGTCTGACATCATCTCGTGTCCGGAAAAGAAGCGAAGAGCGGAGCTGCAAAAATGTAATGGTTGGGGGAAAGAAAGGCGACGCCTCCATGCAGAAAGTCACTGGAAAGGGGGAAAAGATTAGTCCATCTGTGTGCCAAAAGAGAAATGCACACAGCTCATGTGGCTGCCATCTTCCACCACACCCTCTCTTAGCATGTCCCACATGCAATGTTGGGCACACACCTGCTGAAATTGTAGTAGGATCTCATTTATCCTGGCCGGACGAACGACAAATGCACCAGCCTGAGGAGGAAAACAGGCTACCATATGAACCACATACAGAGGGCTGTACTGAGAGGTTATCACCACTGGGGCGAGTTATTGCAGACCAAATCCTGCAGCAGCTAAAAATACTGCTTAGGATCAATCCCCGTCCCCATCTGCCGATAGAGAAGGAATAAATACTGGGGAAACCTGCTCAATGCTACTCTGTGATGACCCACCTGAGATTCGGCTAGCATGTGGTTCACATGCCTTGTGCCGTGAGGATTATGAAGGGATAGCCGATGCGAGTTTTTGTTTTCATATGTACAACGACATCCAATACTGCACTCATGTAGGACACCCTGACATGTCGTGTCCAATTTGTAGATGGGCTGGGACGGAAATGCCTCTACAACTGCGGTTGGTGTGCCTCTGTTTTCCTAGCATGTAGCAGCCACGTGGCCTGTGACATCTGTCTACGCCATGCCATTCGATGCAGCAACTGCGACCGTGAGAATTGGATGTGGTGCTTCCAGAGTGCACATCCGAACCGGTCCTATCCAGGGTCTGTAGGGGTGACCACTTACCATAGGCAATGGCTGCTCCTCCACTCAAAATTTTATGCAAGTGAAACGGCGACTGCCCTCATGCGCCATTCTAGAGTAGTCTGCTGCAATGGTGAGTGTTTAGAACCCTGTGAAACACTGAGAATACCTCCTATTACCTTCCTCCCTCCTTTTCTGTACTACTAGTTAATGCATACGGATGAGCATCATTAAGAGAACAGAAACTAGAAGCTGAAGGACTGAGGAAAATTGAACACGAATATACCTCCGCCTTTACTCTGCCTCCTTCCATAGTGTGGTTGGCGTGCACCTGTATTCCTAGTATATAGGAGCGGTCTGGCCTGTAGCACCTTTCTACGCTGTGCCATCTGATGCAGCAAGTGCGACTGCGAGAATTGGATGTGGTGCTGCCACAGTCAGCAGCAGAACCGGTCCTGTCTGGTTGGTAAAAGTGGCCCGGGTTGGCCGCACATTAATACTTGAAGAACAGGTCCTACTGGAACCCTTTTGTTTGTGACTGGCGGCGGCCTCCTCGAGGCTGCAGGAGGGTGCCCACACCTTTTTTTGCCCGGTAACCCCAACCCCCAACCCCCCCCCCCCCCCCCCCCCCCCCCCCCCCCCCCCCCCCCCCCCGGCCCTCAGCGGAAATGCGCTGGGGCCAATCATGGGCCAGCCGAGCCGGTGCACTGGCCGGTCCAACCGGGAGGGTTCCGGAGGAGGAGAGCCTCCTGGTCGGAATGGGGATTGGCTGTGTTCTAAAGTCCGTTTATATCCCCCAGTTGCCCTTGGATGACCCATCACACAAGTGCGCGGGAGGATTCTGATAGATTGGAACATGTGCGGGCCTCCTGAGTAGTCTGTTTTCATTCTCTTGTTTTTGTTTTGCGCAGATTTTGATATGAATTCGAAATTGATGGACAGCCAGTGCATATAGGAATTCTATGCAGCAACTTCTTTTTGCACTCAGAACATATTTTTGAGCTTTGGTGTACCCAGAAATGCACCCAGACATCTGGCATCCAGGCAGCAGACACTGAACTGTCCACCCGATGTTCCTGCTATACAAATTCTATTACTGATGGAAATCACTGGACGAACCCTCGGTTTATTTGCAGTTCTTACCTTTGCCAAATTAATGGCGTAGGGTAGGCCAGACATGTGGAGATTTTGCAGGAAATTATCTACATAGTACATAGTACATAGTACATAGTACATAGGGTTTAGCAATCTTCATAGGGTTTAGCAACAGAAGTATTAGTGCTCCAGGTGATCTCCCTGGGGTGTGTATGGAACTAAGAGAACTGTAGATGTTCTGAAGTGGGGT